GGCCGGAGCAGAGAGCGCCCAGTCCAGGAGGTGGATGAATGTGGGAGAAAATGGAGACCAAGACGATCGTGTACGACTTGGACACGTCGGGGGGGCTGATGGAGGTAAGAGTGGCCCTCCTCATACCCTTCCCCCAGTGCCGGGAGGGAACCTCCGCCATCCGCCCCACAAAGCCGGCCCTAAGCTCGAAGCGCCAGAGGGCCTCGGTTCGGGGGGGATCTTCCTTACCCAGTCTTTTCCTCCCATCTTTGCAATTGGGGGACCTGAGCTTAGTCTCCGAGGACGTTTGCAGCAGTTTCACCTACCCGCCTCCCTCGATTCGCTCTCCCGAGGCTCCAGCCCACTCCATCTCGTTGCACCGGCGGGCCTCCCCACCCCCTTCTTGTCGGCCCCTTTGTGCTTCCCCCAGCACGTCCGGGTACCGGGCTTCGGGCCTCTCCCGAGCCCGGCTTTGGAGTCCCCCACCGTCCATACAAGGAAGTGGCAAGAAGGGAACCGCGCACCCTCTCCCCATCCCCCTACTCTGATCCTCCCCATTTGGAAGAAGCTGTTCTCGTGGTGCTGGAACGCGATTAGGGCGCGCTCCCCCTGGTTCCGGGGGCTGAGAGGTTCTGGGAGCCGCCTGATGGGAGGCAGAAGGACAAAAGGGGGGAGAGGGGTGGGTGACGGAGAAGCTGCGCCGGGGGGGCAAAGGCTCGCCCGGGAGCTCCGAGTATGCACACACGCCGTTTGTATGTGTGTGCAGCAAATCCAAGCTCTGCTGGCTCCCCCCAAGTCGGACGAGGTAGAAAAGCGGAGTCGGAAGCCCGAGAAGGAGCCCCGGAGAAGCGGCAGGGCCACCAACCACGACAGCTGCGATAGCTGCAAGGAAGGTGGAGATCTCCTGTGCTGCGACCACTGCCCGGCCGCCTTCCACCTCCAGTGCTGGTAAGGATTGGGGACCCCTTTAGAGCCCTTTGGAGAACCCTCGTCGGCACGTTCCTTCGCCCAGCCTGCCCCTGCCTGCCGAAATAACGGGGCGCTGCAGCCGCTAGCTGACTCCCTGCAGCCGCTGGGGCGAGCGCCTCCCCGCCCCCGGATGTCTGCAGAGATCCGGCCGTTTTGCTGGGAGGAGCAGCCGGTGGGTCCGGACCTCAGTGTGGGAGTTGTTAGGAGGACGGCGAACCCCATCTGAAATTAGAAGTCGCTGGGGAGCCGGGACAGAGCGGGCCCAGAGTGCTGCCGGCGGTGGGGGGAGGAAGGGGAGGAGCTCCGGGCC